GTCACTTGGGTCTCCTGGAGATGAGCTGATAATTGGTGAGGGATGGGAAGGAAAGGGCTTTTCCCATGGAAATCCTTCCTGTCAGGATGTGGGAATGGTGGTAATGCCCTTATGTGGCTTAATGGGAATCACCAGGGTGGTCAGGACCTGGCTTCAAGTCTGACAACACTCATGTTTGGGGTGTTTTTTTTAATAGCCACTGGAAACAAGGGGGAAGAAAAAGTTTGAGAGTTTTTAATTCACATTCCACTGGGGGAATTTCCACGTTGAGATGGGTGACGATAATGAAACTGCCCAGAACGGCTGGCACTGGGGTGCTCGGAGCAGCTCTGGGTCCAGCTGCTCCCACCTGGGGACTTTCTGTGCAAGCCCTGAAGTCCTCAGGACTGCCCAGCTCTGTGTAGCCTGGAAAACACTTGGAAAACTGCTTGGGAAAAGAGGTTCAGCCCCCAGGTTTCTGCAAACCTCATGCACATCTCACAGACGAGCCTTTTGGGGTGATTTTTACTTAGTGCAGCTGGGCAGCTTCCAGAGAAAACGGAAGAGCTTTTCCCGCTAAGGAAGCTGTCCCAACCCCAGGCTGTTATCCAGGCTGGACTGGCCCTGGCCCTGCTGCTAAAGCAGTTTGCTGCCCGGGACCTGCCAGCTTCCCGCAGCGGGGAAATGCCAGAGGGTCCAGCTGGCGAGGCCAGTGCCCATCAAACCGGGAAGATGCCCGTGTGTACGTGTGGCTGCACATGCCCWTAAAACGGGCAGTGAAGGGAGACTCCTGCCTTTCTAGCCTGGGACTCAACCTTGAATCTTTACTCTGAGAAGGAAATATGTGTATTATATGTATGTCTATGTCCTCCTCTGAGCCTGACTCGCTCTGGCCTGTCCTAAGTGGAGTGTCTGCCGGCTGCTGGCACCRTGCCTGGGAGCTGCTGTGGAAGCGGGAGCAGCCGGATCCAAGTGCATGAACGGGGGAGCTTCCAGCAGGTAAATGTGAGTCACCGGGGCAGAGCCACGGGGCGCTGCTCTGCCGGCCTTTGCCCAAGRGCAGCTTTGCTGACAGTCAAACAGTTCACAGAGCTTTTACTCCAAAGTGGCCTCCCCATCGCAAAATCTTCAGCATCCAGCTTGGAGAGCAGCCGTGGGGTTTTGCAGGTGATGCAAGTGSTTTGGAGCTGCTCCCCTGGGCCAGGAGGTGTGCGTGGGATGGGGTGGGATGTGGCCATGGGCTTTTCCAGGCAAGCCAGGCTTGGGTTTGGGGTTTTGTGCAGTTCATCCTTTGCAGAGAGCTGCTGCAAGTGACACGGGAGCTGAATTTCTCAACATGAGGCGCTCTCAAGACRCAAACCCACCTGGAGACCCACGACTTTTCTGGTTCCTGCTCCCTGCAGCCCCAGGCTGGAGGCTGAAAGTGATGTCCGGAAACGCTGGGCTGGGATCAGTGCACTGAGCAGCTGCTGCGACCCTTCCACAGGTTCATTTCCCCTCGGATTATAAAAGCATTTGCATGTGCCATCACCTTCCCTGCTTCCACCTCATGGTTTTTCTGTCCTATGGAAGAGGAAGCTCCCAAGCTGCCCTCCCTCCATCCTAATTACCCCATAGCTGTGGGATATATCCTGTGAGCTGTGGGCAGGGGATGCTCAGGTGAGGACTTAGGCTACAATGGGCAGTCCTGGGGGAATCGACTCTTGCAGAAACAGCAAAACCCTTTTTCTCAGCAGGGCGCTGGGGGGATTGTGTGAAGGGATCGTGGGGAGAGACCTGTGGAAATGTGTAAGAAATCCCTGAGGGAGCCCTCATCCCACAATGAGGAGAGCCAGGGGGTGGCACTGGAGTGACTGCAAGGGTCTTGCTCGGGGCCATCCCAACCCTGGYCCCCTCTTGTCCCCTCTTGCCCTGGCCGTGGTCAGGGCCTGKTCATGTCCCTGCTCCAGTCCCTCCAGCCACCAGGACGGGATTGAGGAGATGCTGTTTCCTGCCGTTATCCCCCAGGAACCGAGTGGGCAGACAYGGCCTTTTGTCACCATCTAGTGGAAATGCCCAGGTGCAGACAGGCAGAGTGGATGGGGACATCTGGGGACACTGCCCCAGCAGGGTACCTACAGGGTGTCCTGGCTGGGTGCACACCTTGCCCGGTGCAGGGTTAACCTAAACCATGCCAGCACCCATCCCTTCCCAGTATCCCTATTTGCACCAATTGCTCAGCCCATCAGGACACCCCTTTTTTGGCTGTTTTCTCTGGGGGGTCTGGCCTGGGGGTCACCAGGTAGCTCAGGGCTGCAGGACTGGYTCCAGGGTGCGGTGTCTGCCCTGCTCGTGGCCCTGTGCACCCATAGCCATGTGCAATGTCCTGCTGCTCCCACGGCCAATCCCACTGTGCCGTATTCCAGGTATCCCAAGAAAACCCTCCTGTGCCTTTCCTGGGTTCACTTTGGGGCTCTGGCTGCTCAAACTGATCAACYGCTGCCTTTTCCATGAGGAATCAGCCCTTCTGCAGGGGGGAGCTGGGGCCAGCGCTGGCTCTAGCAGCACTGCTGGGAGAGCAGTGATAAGCAAGGATCCYGTTACAGCGTGGGCACACGCAGCAAGGGGCGAGCAATCAGCTCCTGCTTAGCAGAGTAAATGCAGCTCCTGGGGTGGCACCAAGCCCTCGGTTTGTGTTACTGGCTCCTGCAGCACATGGTGGGACACGCTGCAGATAGCAGGGCTGGAGGCTGTCCCTGYGCAGGGCCTTTCCCTTGGCACTGGCTCTACCTCCCTGGGAACCCCCTCTCTTTGTCCAGCACAGGGGTCAATAGGGTGGCTGAGGGGCAGATAAACCCGTCCCTTGCTTGCAGGTGGCCCTGAGCACCCCTGGGGCATCGCCTCCCAGCCCGCATCCACCTGGCGCCTGTTTTTGTTGTTGKTTTTTGTTTGTTTTATCTYGGAGCTCACCCAGGCTCTTTTGTTCTCCACATCRGGGGCTTCTCAAGCAGGTGCTGGTGAGGGTGAAACCGCTGGCACAGTGGGAGGCAGGAGAGCCCAGGGCAGCTGTAAAGCAGAGCAGAGGGGTGCTCAGCACTCGGGTACTCACGGGTYGGAAGGCCATGACGGGCAGGATGCCAAGCAGCACGACCGGGACCCTGCCAGGTAAGCAGGGGGCACAGCACATAGCCCTGGGGGCAGCACCMCCACAAAGCCCATGGCCACTGGGGAACAATTCCACAGAAATAGSGTGGCTCTGTCCCCTTTCAGCAGTCATTAAGGACACAACTCTCCTACCGCGCAGGGCCTTCCCTCTCTGCCATGAGGCAGCGGTGCTGCTCTGGGTGGCCGCGCTGTCCTGCCTGCCCCACGGTGCTGCAGGTCGCCGGCTGGGTCAAGTGCAGTCCCGGTATCTGCAAACCTGCAAGCTCCCGGGCTTGCTGAACTCGAGACRCTTTCCAGTTTAGCAGCTGACACTAAGAACCAAGCAGGTCAATAAGGGAAGAGAGAAAGAAAAGGGGTGCAAGGAGAGAAGTTGGCAGAGCAGTAGACTGCAAAAAGGAATTTCCTGCCCCCCTGCCCCAGCACCTTGTGAGCTTTTGCCCTGCACAGAAAGAACAGAGCCCACTTTCAGGCCCTGTTTTAGCCCTGGAGCTGGTCGGTAGCAGGGCCAGGCTGCCCTGACCGGCTGAGGCTACCACCCCCCACTCCCGGGCCCCTCAGCTTCTGGGACCCGAGACCCAGAGACCCACCCCAGCTTCCCATAGCTCCGGCCCTCTTCCCTCCGCCCCCAGCCCCGGGACTCCCGCTGGCTCCCCGACCCCTCCGATCCCGGGACACCCCCCGGCCTTTGGAATTCGGTTCCTGGTTCCCCCCACAGCCTCCGGATCCTCTCCCGGTTCCGGTGCCGACCCCTCGCCCCTTCCCGGACGCCCCCGGGGCCACCACGTGGCCGCCCGCTCGCCACGTGCTCGGCTCCGGCCCGGCCACGCCCCTCCCCGCCACCGAGCCCCGCCGCCCAATCAGCGGAGCAGGCGCCGAGCTGCCGCGCTCTCATTGGTGGCGCCGCTTCCCCGCGGGCGGGCTGGCTGCGCTCCTCTCTGACCCCTCCCGCGGCGCACGCACGCCCTGCTGCCCCCCGCCTGTAACGCGCTCCCCCGTTGGCTGATCGCTAAGCGCCAGCGATTGGCCGAGAGGCAGGAGGGGCGGGGAGGGCGATTGGCCGGGCGGGCCCGCGCGCGCGGCGATTGGCCGAGGCGGGGGCGGCGGGGGCGGGGCTCGGCGGAGGGCTAGGCAAGCGGACGGAAGGGGCCTGCGCTCGCTCTTTCGTGTCGGTGCCTGCTGCGGTCGCCAGCGCCTCGCGGCCGCTCCCGCCTCCCGTCCGCGGCCCCCCGCGCTGCGCCCGCCCAGCCCGCCGGACGCGGCCCTTCCCCCGGAGGCACCCCC